CACCAGCCTCCAGTGTCTGCCTCTCACAGCACCTGGCAGAGCAGGCACAAATCAACAGCTTCATTAATAGCTCTTGATCATTATGAGTTTTATTTTGATGCGATAAAACCAAACCCGCCTGGTCAGCAGGCTGCATCTTAGTGCAGCTCCCCTGCCATGCTCCAGAGTTGGCTGCCTTGTCCTGGGGAGATGGGTGCTTCCGCGCAGGGTTTTTTTTGAGGTCATTTTATGGCCATTTGCTTTGATGCAACATTGCCTGCATCACTAAGCGCTCCCCTCCCACCTCATGGCATAAACAGCTGGCAGCATCTCCGCTGCCACAGCAGCAGCAAGGGTGACAGGCACCCAGCACTGCTCGGATGCAGGGAGGACCACACCACAGGCATTGGGGCTGGATGGGGTGGCAAAGGACACATCACGCAGGTGCAGGGTTTAGTGGCAGAAAGACTAGTGTGACCTGAAAAATCCTATACTGGCACGACAGTATTTTTTGTGGCTGAAAAGTCAGGGAGCAGCCCCTCCAATCCACCCCCAGCGTCTCTCCATGCTGTTCCCTCCATCCTGGGCCTGTACAAGTGGTTAGGGCCACCTGGGCAGCCAAACACAGTCCTGCTTCCAAAGAGGTGTCACCAGCTGTCTGCAAAAACGAGTCTGCAGCCTTGGAGCTGCCCTGCCAGAAGCACCCAATCCCAGAGAGGAGACTCCTGGACCGAGACCACCTCCCCACGATCCTCGCCTGCCTCCCAGGCACTCCCGTGATGGAGAGAAACACCCTAAAAAACATCGTGAATGCATTGCACTCAACGTCCCCTCCCTGGCCTTTCACACTCGGCATGGGCAGAGAAAACCTTTTTTCCTTCTGCAGGAGCTTTCAGCCTGTAAAAGACTCCCCACCCCTGTGCCCACGCTGCCCAGGGTGACTGAGCAAGGGTACGAGAGCACTCAGAGCCCCAGGTATCCACTCAGGGACAGCACGGCCCCCCATGGGCCCCCGCAGCCTCAGAACATTCCCTACTCTGCCCACTGCTCAGAAAAGAGTCTGCAAAGGTCTACCCGTGCTCCTTTCCTACACACTGCTCAATTTACCGTCTCACACAAGCGAAACATCCTCTGGCTTTAGCCATCAAAAGCATCTCCTGGGGGCTAGAGAGCTGCTCTGGGTAGCTGGGAATCCTACCCCAGGAGCCCCAAAGGCGGTGAGGGTAGCCCTGGTCCTACTGGAGCCAGCCTCCTCCCGTACACCCTCTGCCGTGCCATCAGCCCTGCTGAGGTTCTGAAAGTCTCCTTCCTTCCTGCGTGGTTCCCAGGCTGTTGAGCGGGGCTGCAGCTCTTCGCAATGGCTTCAAGTGCAGTTTTGTGCGTGTCTCTGAGGTGCAGACTCGCACCCATGTCCACTGCCCATACACAGTTTAGGCACACCCATGTCCACTGCACCACGCTTGGGGACACAGCACTGGAAGAGGGCTGCACCCTCATATAAAGCCCCTGTGACCAAGTCCCTGGCTGGCTGGTCCCCTGTGGACCACATCCAGTTCAGGCTTTGCTCCTGCAATTTCCTTTAGGAATTTTATCGAGAGCACCTCTGCTCCCATCCTTATTTCCCGTCCTCCCCCCCCCTCCCCCCCCCCCCCCCCGCTCAATGTAAATGTCTTTGCAGGTGGTTTACATGCATTTGCTCTTATGCCAACACAATCTTTTAGTGTAAATAATTCCTTTCTTTATCTAGAGTAAACACTCTACTATATTTACAAGTATCAATCATATCACTTCCACCTGTGTTTTACTAGTCGCAGCACTTCCAGCTCTCCCAGTCTCGCAAGATGGGGCCCTCCATCCCTTCCCAGGCTCAGGTCTGGCTTTCCCTCTATTCCAGTACGAATGCCTTTTCTAGCACTGAGATCCACACTCCCAGTGCTCTGCACGATGCCCTACACCCCCTCCACATCTGCATGTGGGTGAGCCCCGGTGCCTGGGCAGGGCACCACAGGTGTCCCCAGTTCTCCCCACACCCAGGTGCTGGCCCTGGGCTGCAGCCGTATGTGCTAGGAGCACCAGCTCCATCTCTGCCTCCCACATGCTCTGCCGCTGGCTTCTTCTTGCCCATGATGAGAAGGTTTTGCTTTCTGGCCCTGGGTCAGGCTCTCACCGGTGACTAATTAAAAAGCAGCCCCGACTTTGCTAGGGTGCCCGGCAGTACCTGGACAGGCTCCCTTGCCTGGGTTAGCATCAGCAGGGTGCATGCTTGCAGCCACAGCATCCTTGGGCACAGCTGGCACCTACCTTCAGAGTGGTGTGAGAGGGTGAGCAGGCTGACGCAGGAGGCACCGATGCCAGAGCCGAAGACAGTGATCCGCAAGGGATCTCCCCCAAAGAAGGCGATGTTCTCACTGACCCAGCGCAATGCCTGTATCTGGTCCAGCAGCCCATAATTGCCCTTGGCAGCCTGGTCCCCCGTGCTCAGGAACCCTGTGGGCCAAGGGGATCCTGGTCAGGGATGAGGAAGCAGGAGAGTGTCTTGACCTCCCACCCCACTTCCCTGGGCCTAGGGGACCTTCTATGGGACCCCGTCCCACCACAACATGAGACCCCACTACCAAAAGAGTCCTGCGAGCTCTAAGCTGGAGCAGGAACACCACTGAACTCCGGCCACTCTCTGCACCGCACAGAGGGGTGAAAGGCTGCAAGTGCAGCTGCAAGCCCCAAGGAGCCTCTCCAGCCGACTGCAAGCAGTGACAGGGTGATGGGCATGAAGCCCTGTCCTACCCGGACCACCCCTCTGCTAATAATGAGTTAAGACACCTCACATGTGAACTAAGGAAAGCCCAGAAAGCACCGGTGGCTGCAGGCAGGCTGAGTGTGTGCACAGCCAATGCTTTCCATGGACTAGCGTGGCCCGGAGGCGGCTCTATAAATGTAAGGAGGTGGGCTGGGCAGAGAGGAACTGACTGCGGCTTCATATACAAAGGCTCTCAGTGAGGAAGGTGCTGAGAAATGCTTTCAATAGCAAAGGGAACACCCAAGATAAGCTATCAGTGTTTCATTTGCTTTGACTCAAAGCAGGAAGCCAAAACCATAGTCCTGAGGTAAAATCCAGGCAGGTAACCCCGGTACGCAGGGAGCGACACCAGCGCTGCTCCGGCACTGGAGGTGCTTTGGCCGGGCGCGCTGCATCATTTCAATGGAGATGATGATGGCACCATTTAAGTCTTATTTCATATTGTGACTTATGTCTCTTAAATTTGCACCTATCCATCTTTTAATATTGAAAGGTCTTGAATAGGCTTGTTTTTACTGAAAAGCCTATTTTCTACCAGGTAACTGCCATCTTTCCCAAGAGACTATGGGGTCCAGAGGCCATCAGAGGGATGTGCTGCCTAGGGTACCACCCAGCTGCCTGGGAGAGCATTGTGCCAGGTTGGCTGTCTGGGAAGCTCTCCCGAAACTTCTGCACCCCTTGTTGTCCCTGCTGCTAAAGGAGGCAGCAGTGATGCTCCAGGCAAATCTCCTGTGTCCCATCCCCTGGGGGTTTCTGCTGCAGCAGGCAGGGAACTGCACTGCCTTTTGACCCTGTGTCCCCATTTCACCTCTCTAGGTCACCAGTGCTTGTGCAAATGGGACTGCCACTCTCCTCTGTACGGCACCTAACACCTTTCAGTGATCCCCTCTGCAGACAGACGGGTCACGGTGGGCAGCTGCAGGGGTCCCGGCAGCTCGACCAGCTTGGAGGCAGCCAGTGCCCGGGAAGGGAAAGCTGCCGGGTCCCCAGGGGCAGCCAGGCAGTACCCACTGGCAGCGCACCGCTCTGAGCCCTCTCAGGAGGAGATGCTGGGTAAACACACTTATTATTTATTTAACCGCAGACCAATATTTGCTTTCAGCTGAGGCAGGTTGTGTAAATGAGCCTGAGGGGGCCAGTGCCAGGATCCAGACCACGCTGCGACTGCCCGCTGTGGGCACTGCCACGTGGCACCCTGCTCAGCGGCCAGGGCGGAGGGCAGGAGCAGTGCCTGCAGGGCAGCCCTCATCCCAGTGGGCCCCATGCCCCCCGCCACCCCCTTCCCAGCTGGTTCAAGCCCAGTCAACCGTTGGGGCTTGTCCCCCCGCTTGGCCC